AGCGCAAGTATCAGGAAGAGAGAGAGAGCAAGTATCAGGAAGAGAGAGAGAGAGAGAGAGAGAGAGGATGCCTGTGGTCATGACTTAGGTCATAATAATAAATTGCTCTATTAAGGACTATAAACTCACAGACTTTTCTGCAGTGCTAGTGATGGAGTTTCCTGATAGGGCCCAATTCATGACTGATATTCAAGTGAAGCACTAGGTATGGGTGATATTGCCAAAAAATGAAGACGCCTCACATGAAACACATTCAGATGATGTCATTATAACTCAAAAAGACACACACACATCCTAACGAAGAACTGAATTGAGTCAAGCCTTCTCCAAACTTGCCCAAAACTGTAGGAAAATAGCTGAAGCAGAGTGAATCAAAATCCAAATGGAGCTGAACATATTCATACCTAGGCAAGATCAGTGTGCAATGCCCATTTGGTAGAGGTCTCAGAGAACAGTATCATGCTTCTCAGAGAACTATGTGCATGCAAAGTTAAAAAGGAAGATCTTACATTCTTAAATCCTCTGTAAAGAATCTGGAGCTCCTTCTTGGTAAATTTGCTCTGAGCTTCCAGAAGTTCAAGAGCCTCAGGCCGATGCCTGATTGTGGCCATCTCCAGCTCATCTTCCACGCTATCTGTAGATGAAGCCAAAAAAAAAAAAAAAAAAAAAAAACTCTTAAGAACATCCACTGTTCCCCAATGTTCAGACACAGCAACCCAGGATGACATATTTACTGGCTGGCTGTGAGTTTTCCAGAGGATTCTCGCATTGGTAGTTTTAGCCTTTACATTTCCCAGAGTTTATAGTATTAAACCAATTCTACATAATATTTTATTTTCACATATTCTGGTCACTGGCTGTAACAAATCTAGCATTTGTATAGTTTTTACAACAAACATTTTCAGCCCTAAAACCTAGAATAGTGTGCACATACCATGAATTGTTATCAAAAAGGACTTTTCATTTCATAATAATCACTATCACCCTGTGTATCATGCAACCAGAAGACAGAATTTCATGAAGACTCGCTGTGCTATCCAATCTTTTCCCTTGGTTACAAATAAAGCACTCAGAGCTGGTGCCTGTTGGCTGTTCATGCACCCTACCTGGGCTTCCTGGGGGCACTATGACTTGACCCCACATGCAGCCAAGGGAATCTGGAGCTATAGATGGATTCTAAAATTTGGTACCTGGAAATATTACAAATTATACTATAATAATTTTTTCAAAGATGCTCTGAATGAGAATTTTGGGTTTATATATGCTTGGGAAGTGACAAAATTGTTAGCATAGTCTGGGAATAAAACACTGGAATATAAGTTTTGAGAAGATCTGCAGCAAATAACTCTATTTAACCTTGCCTAACCCAGTTGACTCCAAGGTATCTGCCCCTAATGCCCGTCTCTGGACACAGAAACTTGGGTCACATCTGCACAGATGTTTTAGGGTCATGTAGAACTGTATGATTTAGGAGGCAGCTGGATACATTAGGATCGGGGTACTGGGTCTCAAAGTGCAGCACCTTTACTTAACCTCTGCTTCTCTGCAGTGGGGCCCGATGGAAGCTTAAGGAACTCTTTAGGTAGGAGTTCAGCTTAGGAACTCATTGGCAACAGAAGCAGCCAGGTTCTAGTTGATAGCAGCTTCTCTTTCTGTTCTATTCCCTCTTCTTGCTCCAGATTTCCAACTCAGAGAGAGATGCCACAGGAGAATAGCTTCTCCTTAGCATCTCTGGTCTGTGAGCAACTTGCCTACTCAATTTGTTTCATATTAGTAAGAAATATGGGCATTTTCACTAAAAAATCCCCATCATTTTGAAACCTGTTAATACTTCCTCTCATTAATATCTGCATCTGCTTCCTGCTCTGTCTTCCTGAGTGCTATGAAGGGCCAGAGCTCGCTCTTAGCAGGGAAAAGAAGGTCATTAGAATGCTAATTTTGTCATGTTCCTATCACAGGCCTGAAGGAATTTGTAAAAGACAAATCATAGTAATGAAGCAAGTACTTGGAATGGTTGTGTTTGTCCAAGCAAGTCAGAGGGGGATAAAAGAAAACATTTGTTTTGCACTTTTAATATAATGATAATTCATTTTGGAACCGTAATACAGATAGAATACTGATGGATGGCTAAGAAAAATAAAAGAGACATAAAATGATAGGAAGGCCAAGAATAAACTCTGAGCTGACAAGGATAAAAATGATGAGGAAGGAAGTGGGGTATGCACAGAAAGAAAGCAGAAAGAGCTAAAAGTAGCTGGAGAAAAGTGGCTAGGCCTTAATGGATTGACATCAGGCTGGATTTCACAAGTTGAAACAAGTCAAAATGGAGCTCCTTCAATTTCTCCTTCATTCATTGCAAGGAGTATGTTGACCCCACTCCGTGGGTCCTGGGCTAGAGAGGCTGAGGAAAGATGGTGCATGTTGGGGTGGCAATTGAATCACTGAACAACTGTGTTGTCTCTGTGTAGTGGACACTGCAGAAAGCAATGCGAAGGACCAGATCTAAAGTAAGTAGACAACGACAAACAGTAAATCTCTGAGTTTTCAAGTGTGCTGATATCAGCTTCCTTTGAACAATTTTCTCAGCTAAAGATGGTCCACTTTCCTTTTTCCACTAGATGAAATATCTTTTTTTCTGATCCAGTGCAAATATTATGGCCTCTTCTTTCATGCTGCTATGCCATACAGAACTGATGGTTCCCTGGCCTGAGTCTTCACAGCCTCCCTCCCTCCCATATGACATGTAAGACAGAGCATGATGATATGCATTGGCTTGTCCTATCCTCTGTGAATTTGTGACAGGAGAAAGGTCTTACACAGCAGCCTATTCTTTGGACCTCACATGTCATCTGATACCAATAGCAACTCAATAAATTTTTATCCAATGAATCAATAAACAAATGATGTTGTAACTAAAATGTCTTTGGAGCCCCTGGTATTTAGTTTTTCTATAGGAGGATATTTCTCAAACCCAAGGTTTGAGGACATCTGGTTGACCTAGTATCTTTTCTGGCTCCCCTATGTTCTCTATGCATAGTTCCGAGAAATACAGCATAGGCAAAAAGGAGAGGAAATTTTAATCATATTTTGTGAGCAGGCTTTTAATCATCACATAACCTCCTCTCAACCCAGTGACCCTTCCCTCGGAAAGAAACAAAACAGCATATTAACTTCTCGGCCTTTGCAACCACACAGCAGTCTGAATTGCACCACCAACTTGGTTTCTTCCTCCAGCTATTCCAGACTTGCAGTTGCTGAGACTGAGACCAAAGACCCAGGCCAGAGGGTCAGTGTTACTGAATTAAGTGTGTGTGATAGGTCACCACATGCAATATTCAAAGCACTCACTTGATGTGTCTGTCTGCGGACACTTGTTTTCCCAGCTGACTGTACCTTACTTGTTAATGACTCCTATCTGCCAAAGAACTGCTTCTATTTCTAGGAGACTGACAGGCTCTAAAAACATACCTGAAATCATCAGCAATCACTACCATATGATAAGTGAAAAAAGCAACACCCCCCTAACGCAATCAAGACTGATTCCTGGAGATGAACTGTAGAAAGCACAGCATGATTGCACAGAAGACTCTGGAATTCATGATGTGACTCAGATGGCTTGTGTTTGGAGGGATTTTAATACCATGCTGACATGCATCAAGCCCCTGCTCTCGGACAGGGGACAGGGTAGATGTCATTAGAACTGACATCATTCTAATCCTCACAATACTTGCACAGTGAGGTTCATTTGTCCATTTTTCACCTTTGTGGACAGTGAGTCTTACAGAGGTAGAGAAACAAGCGGCTAGATGTCACAGAGGAGATAAAACAGAGATAAGTGGTACATCCACTTCTTTGAAGCCAAAGCTTATGTTCTTTGTGCTATGCTATACTCTACACTAACAGAAATAATGGCAAACTCTCTTTGCTATGATGTCAAATATCTCAGAAATGTTGGCTGTATTTGTTGAGCCCATGTCCTGACTCTGCTCTCCCTAATCTACTACAATCTGATTTCTGATGTGCTATAGGTTGAGTTGTGTGCCTCTGACATCTATGTAGTGAAGGTCTAGCTCCCAATAAAGAGATCAGACATTTAAGGAAGTAATATAAATCAAATAATTCTAAAGGATGGGATTCTGATCCAATACCCCTTGTATCCTCATAAGAAGAAGGTAAGGAGGAGAAAGACCAGGGTTATTTACACAGAGGAAAGGTCTTGTGAAGTCACACAAAAGAAGACAGCCATCTGCAAACACAGGGAGAAGCCCGGGAGAAATGAACCTTCCCCGTGTCTTGAACTTCTGATCTTGAGTTGAACTGAGAGAGAACAACTTTATGTTGTGTAAGTCACCTGGTTATGGAGACCCTAAGTGAACAAATATATACACCTACATTCTAGATAGAGAGCTAACAAAATCATGTCTTGTTATTCACAATCTGTCCAAGGACTGCTAGTAGTTTGTTACTCCATCTTAATGCTTGCAACATTCTTCCAGAGCAGGACTAGCACCCCCATTTTATAGATTTGAAAACTGAGACTTGGAAGGCCTAAATAAATTGTTCAAGGTCATCTAGCTAGTTAGTCTGGAAGAAGACAGATGTCTTTAATGCCCTAGAGAGAAAGCTTTCAACATTCTGCTGATAATGAAAACCACTACCCCAGAGAGCTTTTACATTAAGTCTGGCTGTATATTATCTCTTTCTCATGCTGACAAAAATCCCAGGAGATCCCTGTAATTGCCTTTGTTTTGTAAGGAATGAACTGGAACTTGCAGAGCTTAAATAACTTACTCAAGGTTACACTGCTAGTAACTGACAGAGCTGGGATTTGAATCCTGGCTTTCTGACATCAAGATCATGAGCTTAGTCAATACACTATTTTAAGAGACAGTAGCAGTTACATATTTTAGTCCAAGGTCCTAGGGGATGAATGATTGTAAACCACACATTAGGGTGACACTGCACCCTGAAAGCCTTGGGAGAACTGTGCTGGGCTCTAGAGAGAGCTGTGATGGGAGTTGGTGCTGTGTTGATGGAAGCACATAGAAAAAGGGGTGGAAGTGATGGTGTCTTAGGGCTGTAAAAACACCGAAGGTTGTTAGCTTCTCTGCATCTTGCCACTGAGAAGTTTAGGCCAGAGGCTGACAGGGTTTGTCTTGGATTAAAACTGGGGCCAGGTGTGACTCCTGCCTCACGAACCCTCTCTGGTCAATCAGGCTGATCTGATTCTGAAGTTATCTTTCATCCTGAGATAATCTGAATACAAATAGTATTCTAATTTGCCCAACACACAGATTTAATTTTAACCAGACAACAAATTCCCAGCTTTAAAAGCCACCCTCGAGTTCCCAGCTCTCTGTTTTTGCTCTTTGTTCCTCAGATTTAAGTCTCCGAGGGGTGAGGTTGTCCTATGTCTGACTCAGCTGCCTCTCAGACCATGAGACAATTGGACTAGAAACGGGAATTCAAATCACCTGAGAACAACAGAATGAGTTTTAAAAATAGGTATCTTTCTCACAACAGCTCTTAAAATACAGTAGAAGCTCATTACAGCCCAACTCATAATTATGCAAATTTGACTCATCAAAGGTCAAACCTTTCCACCTGAATGTGAGCACAGCCCATCTTGCTTTC